CGGGCACCACCCGGCAAAGCCCGCGCGGTGTCGGCGGCGGTGGGATCTCATTTGCCCTCTCCTTGTGCGGGGCCGTGGGGGGGCTCTCTTCGTCGACCAATGGCGGAGCTCAAAGGCCGGCACGTCAGGCGGGGCGCGCAGGCAGGTGGCGGTGGGCGGCGTAGTGGCTGGCTGCTGCATGGCGGCGCGGCACGGTGGAGCGCGCGGGTTGGTGGCGGCGCGGCGTTTCTTCTGGACGAAGCTTGGGTCGGTCAGATCTGCGCGCGGCGGAGTGGGGGCTGGCGGCCGGAGCTCGTCAGGGGGCTTGTGTAGCGGCGGGCGTTATGGCGAGCGCGTGTGCCGGTGGCGCACTCCGGAGGCAGCGTGCAAGTCCATCGCCAGACGAGTGACGGCGGTGCTGCGATGGCTCGGCCAAGATGGAGTCTTGGTGAGCAGCGAGCTAGCAGTCGGCCACCTTTGTGTTGTGTGGTGAACGGCAAGGCTTTCCCTGGTTCCTCGTGGAGATGCGGGTCCGACCATTGCTAGGTTGTCCCTCGGAGTGGGCGATGGCTATTGCAGGTGGTCCTGGACCTTGCCGATGGTGCGGGATGGCTATGGTTCCTGTCCAGGCTGGGTGTCGATGGTGCGGCCGGTGTTCTCCTTGATGTGCTTTCGATTGTTGACCCTCGGCTTGCAGCTGCATTGGTGAAGTGCTGCGGTGGCGGCGGTGTGAAGCTTCTGGGATGGTGTTACCCAATTCTAAGGGGCGTGGTGAGGTGCGACACGCGGATGAAAATCTTGCTCGACTTCCGTCGGGCATGCGGCGATGGCACCCGTGGATGTCATCCCATCATTGGAGGCGTCGTTGAGGCGTGTTCGTCACGTCCCTTGCTCACTAGGAGTTGTGGCTGTCTCCAGGCGAATGCTTCGATTCAGTGTTGGATCGACACAATGGCGGCGTCCTCGACGTCATTCCTCTGCCGGGAGCATTGTGTGTGGAGACAAGTTCCTTGACGATCTCCTCTGGTGTTTGCCGCTATCCTCTTTGTTCCATGACGACGCTATGTACGCCCGTCGCCGGTGTGTCCAAGACGGTGGCTTTCTGGGAGCAGATCGAGTCCTGCCACCCAGTTGCCACTTCCTCTTAGGCAATAAGAGTGGATGGTGCTTCGACAAGTGAAGTTCTGCGGAAGTTGGTGGTCTTCAGAGGTGCTCGGCGTTGGTCGAGACGCGGTATTGTGTTCCAAATTGGGTAGGCTCTTCCATGTTGTAGTTTGCTTTGCGGTGTTTGCTTGTCTTTCGTGTGGTGTTTGCGCAACTCTCGTTGTTCGCAGTGAGTGTAGTTTCTTGTAACTGAAATTCTGCCTTCTGTAAAGCTATGGTATATATGCCTGAGCGTACTCTTGAAATAAAAAACCCAGATCTACACTCCGTATAGTGCAGTTGGAGAAGATTTAAATTGCACAGATCAGATCGCTAACCACATGCAATTTAAATTGCTTACCACATGCAAATTACAATACAATACAGGCATAAGGTTTACAAGTTGATGCTCAACACATGCGGTGCAGTTGTTCAAGCAAGCGCGTGATGTGGACACGTAGTATTCTAACGTCGATGCGCCTATGAACCGGCTGGGTACCCAGAAACAGCAGGAGAGACAAATCTGGCTCCTTTTTTTCTGTTGGCCTCGGACAAAACTGGATTATTCTCCAGCTCGGACACGGCATGTCCCAAATCCGCCACCAACTTCCGGCTGACCTCTTCTCCCCACTGTCGCTCTTCCCACTCTCGTCGTCTCCCTCCGATCTTGTCGCCACTATCCCCTCGCGGTTGTAGCTTGGTTAGTTGGTTTGGCTTGGCGATGAACGGCGGCGGGGGCGATGAGAGCGGCAGCGACCATGAGGGGAGCGGGACGCGGAAGCCGCTGCTGCTCAAGAACACGGGGAGCTGGTACAGGATGGTGGGGTCGTCGTCGCGGCAGATGGTCGGCGCCTCGTCCATGGCCGTGCTGCGCGAGTCCCACGTCTCCGCGCTCCTCTGCACGCTCATCGTCGCCCTCGGCCCCATCCAGTTCGGCTTCACCTGCGGCTTCTCCTCGCCCACCCAGGACGCCATGATCCGCGACCTCGGCCTCTCCATCTCCCAGGTCCCTTCTCCTTTCCCCACGGCTGTGCCTGGAACCTCCATGCTGGCTCTGTTTTGACCTCTACTTCTTGGACTAGAAATGTTGATTAGCTCCTCCGTGTGTGCGCCTGATGCAGTTCTCGGCGTTCGGCTCGCTGTCCAACGTCGGCGCCATGGTGGGCGCCATCGCCAGCGGGCAGATGGCCGAGCACATTGGCCGCAAAGGGGTGAGAAGTTTCGACCATTTTTTTCTCCCTTTGACTACTACTTAAGCCAGAGTTATGAGTTGACCTTGTACAATTAGTCTCGAATCTCGTGAGCTACTTAATTACTTGCGTGTGGCACCCTGAATTAGGAGTTGGTGTTGCAATTTTTTTGCAGATGAAGTATATAGTGGAAAAGGTTCAGGCTTCTGTTTTACTACACTGAACTGAAGTTACATTCTTTTATATACTCTAATAATAATGTGCTTGCATCTGACTGAATTTTCAGTCGTTGATGATCGCGGCGATTCCGAACATCATCGGTTGGCTCGCCATCTCCTTTGCCAATGTATGACATGACATGACGCACCCACATGTTTTCCAAGCTTATTTCCACAACCTTTTCCTTCATGCTTATGTTTCATCTACAGGACTCGTCATTTCTCTATATGGGACGGTTGCTCGAAGGATTTGGTGTTGGTGTCATATCCTACACGGTTCGTATAGAGCATCTTCGGTGCTTGCTTATTTTGTGCCTTGGACATGCTTTCAGATTTTGAGTACTCACCTGGTTAAAAGAATGTTCAGGAAAGAAAGATCAACTGATATGTCGATATATTCGATGCAGAATCTTCAATAGTTTATACAAAATTTATATTACTGCCGATGCATTATTGGACTAGTTAATAGTTATAACACTAACTGTTAGTATGTATGAATTATGTGATGCCATCATACCAGGTGCCTGTATACATAGCAGAGATATCCCCTCAGAGCACAAGAGGAGCGCTTGGCTCCGTGAACCAGGTACGCCGCCTATTCTCACTAGTCACAAGTACATGGATTGTTCATGTCAAACTCACCGTGCAGTTGTTCATTATGTAGTTATCTATCACCCTTGGTATCTTCTTGGCCTATGTGCTAGGCATGTTTGTTCCTTGGAGGCTGCTTGCAGTACTAGGTAATGCAACTAAACACCTACTCCCTCCGTTCCTAAATATTTGTCTTTCTAGAGATTTAAACGAATGACTACATACGGAGCAAAATGAGTGAATCTACACTCTAAAACATGTCTATATATATCCGTCTGTGGTAGTCCATTTGGAATCTCTAAAAAAAATATTTAGGAACGGAGGGAGTATCATATTACTGAAGTTTGGTCTTGCTGCTAGCATTTTGCAGTTAATTTCTGATACTGTGCTTTTGTAAGAGTTTTCAGTTAACTTCTGACACCCGGTTTTGATGCAAATCTCTCTCATCCACTCTTTCAGGAACCTTGCCTTGTACACTGTTGATTCCTGGTCTATTCTTCATCCCGGAGTCTCCAAGATGGCTGGTGTGTACATGCTCAAGTTCGATATATGAAGCAGAGCATCACTCTGAAATCTGTAATGACACTCTTTTTATGCATCTGTCTTCAGGCAAAGATGAACTTGACGGATGATTTCGAGACTTCTCTGCAAGTTTTGAGGGGTTTTGAGACCGACATCACAGCCGAAGTGAACGATATAAAGGCAAACACTTGCACTCTTTTTCTCCCTCCTATTGACTTGGAAATCCTTCTGAAGTATTTTTGCTCTAGTATAATTTCCTTAAAATCGGAAATATGTCTATATGTGTTTCACTCTTCTAGAAGTAACATCGTCGATTTTAGATTTGAACTTTTTGATTGCTGTTGTGCAGAGAGCTGTAGCATCTGCAAACAAAAAGGCTACGGTTCGTTTTCAGGAGCTGAATCAAAAGAAGTATCGAACTCCCTTACTAGTAATTTCCTTACCCCTTTCCATCTTTTTGATCCATAACATACAAAAATTACTGCATTTTGTAAATGATAATTATGCTACACTTGGGCAGATAGGAACTGGCCTTCTAGTGCTTCAAAATCTATGTGGGATAAATGGCATATTGTTCTATGCAAGTAGAATATTCAGAGCTGCAGGTGAGTTATGCCCGGTGCCTTTTTATCGTTTAGGCATAGCAAGTTCTAGGCATGACTTTTCGAATGGAATTACGATACCTTTGGTAAATTATAATTGGAATAGTAGGAGAGGTGTTTGCTACATAACCAACCTGACAGTGACAAACAAGTTTCACTTTGGCAAAAAAATCAGGATATCACAACAGATTTATACCCAATAATTCCTTAAAATTCGTTCAGCATTATGCTAGCTTCCCTAAAGATAATATCACAAATAACTTCATGGCATGGTATTTCATTCTGCTTCCTCAATGGAAGATGCCACTTCATTGCCTGTAAAATGATTGGTCTTTCGTAAGTACTTTTCATCTACTCTGAACTCTGAAGTACAAAGCGATCTTGCTTAAGTACAATTGTGATACTTTGGCTTGTAAATTTGACATGCAAAGTTCTTCAGGGTTCACAAACAGTGACCTGGCCACATGTGCACTTGGAGCTATTCAGGTATGATATGTAACATGTTTTGTGGCCATCAAGTTATCTTTTTAGCAAGGTTCGATCTCGTCTCGCTGACAGCATCACCTTAATTAGGTTCTCGCTACTGGAGTTACAACATCGCTACTAGATAAAGCTGGCCGACGGATGCTCCTTATTGTAAGTCCACTCTCTCCGATCCATAATAAGTGTCTATAGTTTTGAACTAAACTAACCGTAGTTCAAAACTGCGACACTTATTTTGGATCGGAGGGAGTAGTAGTTTGTAAGCTGTATGTATTTTGTAAAATGTAAGCTGTATGTAACTGTAATCTATTTCACACTTCAAATTTCAGATCTCCACTGCCGGGACGACTCTAAGCCTTCTTGCAGTTTCTGTTGCATTTTTCCTCAAGGTATATACAGGTCTCTCAGCCTTTGATTCTGATATAAAAAAGTTCTACTGCTACATTGCTTTTTACGATGCTGAGCGGCAACACTATTTATCACTGAGATGGGTCCATTTTGCCAAGCCACTCTGGTCTTATCATATATGGTTGTGATGGTTATTTGTTACAGGACAATCTACCACATGACTCTCACTCGGACTACATCTTAAGCATGGTGTCCTTGGTGGCTCTTGTGGTATGTCTGCAGTTAGATCATTTCGTCGCGTGACGTGTGTGTCGAACCCTGTGCGAAAAATCTTCTTAACCTGGATCTTTTCTTCAGGCTTATATCATCACCTTCTCCTTCGGCATGGGTGCCATTCCATGGCTCATAATGTCCGAGGTAAGAGCTTCTGGCCTCTCATAGCCCTCGAGAACATTCAGATAACCCAAATTCAGAGAGATGCCATGAATAACAATTCAAAGCAAGCATCTGAATTGCACCACCGATGCATGGGCGAAATATTCTGAATTCTTCAGTTCCAATTTTGAACGAACAATTTTCAGATCCTTCCAGTGGGCATCAAGAGCTTCGCAGGGAGCTTCGCGACGCTGGCCAACATGCTCACTTCCTTCGGGGTGACAATGACGGCGAACCTGCTGCTGAGCTGGAGCGCTGGCGGTACGTGAATGCTCGGCGCCTCTGTTGTGCCCTCTTGCCTTGCCAAGGATTAATTCTGAACCATGAAACTTGATGACTTTTACATGTTCATTCATCATCTCTATAAATAATTTATGCAGGGACTTTCGCGTCGTACATGGTCGTGAGCGCGTTCGCCCTCGTGTTCGTTATACTTTGGGTGCCGGAGACCAAGGGGAGGACCCTGGAGGAGATACAGTGGTCGTTCCGGTGAGTGGTCTTGATCCGCGGTGCCCCCCGGTCGTCGCATATGGTGTGTAGCTCTTCAAGTTAGGGTAAAAGCCGTGTGTCAGGCAAGAATTGGTTTGCACAGTCAGCAATCTTGGCTCTTCGAACCAAGTGGAATCAGTAGTACCAGTCACATTATTTTCTTCTTCTGTGATGTATCTTTTATAAGTCAAATGCAGAAAATAATATTTTCAGCGGGAACGAACAACCTCAGAAAGGCCGTGCGTTTCCTGCCGAGGCTGGTACAACTGGGCCTTTAAACATACGGCTTTGAGGCTTCCTATCTTCGTTCTTGGGTTTTTGCGCCCAAACGGTAATCAAGCTAATCAAAAAGATAAACCTCCCGATTAGATTAGTCCCACACCGCTTGCGCAGCTCAGCATACCTACTCGTATGGATATAAGAGGAGGGACAAGGCTCCGTTTCAACTCATACCTTTCTCGGCCTTTTGGCTAAGATCAAGTGTAGTATCTGTTCTTATCAGTTTAATATCTGATATGTGGATTACATGTCCACAACGATATTAAATTTATTTTTTGTGGGGGAGGATCCACCATAGTGGCTTGCCACTAGGGTCCTCATGTGTTCCTCGGGCGTTGCACTACAGCCCGGGTGTGGCGCACCCCAACCAAAACCAAATTAAAGATTTAACCCTTTTTTTGTTGGTGAAATTAAAGATTTAACCCAACTTGCAGTTTGATTGTTTGATTAAATCTTTTAATTCAAAATGAAATGAGTTGTGAAACCACAATGGCCTAGCTCTCAGTCACAACCAAAGAGGTACCTCCGTAGAATTTTTTTTGCCTAGATCCACAGCAAACAAATACAGTCATGAAAAGGACTTTCCTCTTTCCACCTTGATGCTGGATAGTAGAGGGGGTGATCTGCTAATTAGTACTGATTTGTGCCGTCCGTTATACTCCCTCTGTCCCAAAAATACTTGTCGAAGAAATGGATAAAAATAGATGTATCTACAACTAAAATACATCTAGATACATCCATTTGTCCGGCAAGTATTTCCGGACGGAGGGAGTAGATTTGATGGTTTACAAGGAAAAGATTTCACTGTTTCACTGGATACCGTGCAATTTTCCATAAGTTAGTTTTCCCTTTTGTTTTTAAGAATCCAATATTCACTGGTTACGAAACTCGTAATCATTTTTTGTAGACAAGTACTCCGTCCGTTCCTAAATATATGTCTTTGTAGAGATTATATTATGAAGCACATACAAATGTATATAGATGCATTTTAGAGTGTAGATTCACTCTTTTTCTTCATATGTAGTCTATAGTGGAACTCTACAAAGACTTACATTTAGGAACGGAGGGAGTATTTTGAAATCTGGTGCCTACTGGTGAAGCATTATCAAGGAGTAGGGCTCCGTTTAAAGTTTGTGAACCCCATGAGGTCAAACTCGTTTTTTTTGGGTTTGGTTCAAAAATAAATGAGTTGGTACAAGCATCCTTTTTTGTATATCGGTTGAAATATGAGCCGAGGGAGGGTAATCCAAGTCTAGCTCGCTCAATTTGACTAGAAATAGGTTGAGCTTGCCTCATAGGTACGTTATCTTCAGTACACAAAATGAGCTAATAGGTGCGAGAATTTTTGTGCCCCCCCCCCCCACCCCACCTTACCCCCGCGGCCCGTCACCACACAGTCACACACAAGTTTATATTATTTGTCTCGGAAATGGCTCATGATGGGCTTGAGGTCATTACAAACCGAGGATAATCCAACTCTGGAGTTCGAACACTCGAAACAGGCTTTCGCCTCGCTTTATATATAAGCAGCAAACAAACAAAGCAAATGAGTGAACGATACAAAGCGGAGTGCTAGTCATCTGAGAAAGCAAATCCCGGGATAATAGAATCACGCAGACAAGTATGCTACCGAAGGAGAACATGGGGAGGACTAGGTACAACACCATGCTACATCCTATCACACCTAAGCCCCACAACAATGCCCTTAGGAGAGAAGACGGCGCGAAGCGTTGCCATTGCCGAGTCCAAAGTGAACATGAGCTTTCACCCGAAATCCTGGCACGGAGAGGAGAACCACAATGACGTTCAAGAAGAGAGCAGCGCTCGTAGCATTGCCGCCATCGGCGCAATTTCGTTCAGCGATGTCACGACCACCACCAACTCCCACCGCACCGCGAGAGGAAGACGCCGCACCCGCGAGAGGAAGACGCCGCTCGCGAGCACACCCCAGGCCGAGCCCAACCTCACCTACCCAAAGCACCAGTCCTCATCCGCCTCGGGCAAAGATATAGCCCGCACGAGCACAAACCCTAGCTCCAAGCCTTCCCCGTTTGCATTCGAACTCTAGCTCAAGTCAAATTGAGCTCGCTTTGTTTTATAATACGAGCCGAGCCAAATTTAGATAGGTCATTCAAATTTCAATCCGTTTGCATCCCTACTTTCATGTTTTGGAACGAACAAAAATAAATTGTCAACGTCGTCTAAAAATGGTCCACCATGTATAGAAAAACATGATTCTTGTTGCGCTAGCCAGGCAATTCGCATGTGGACAGTGGAAGGAAACAACCTTGTCATCGCCCGGCTGTTGCCGCATCTGACATATTGGACATTTTCTGTGGCTGTCTAACACGTGATGCCGTGGATGGCCTTCATTTGGACATTTTCTGCAGACTTTTCCCTCTCGTCAATAATACTATAATTCAGAGCAAGCATTTTAATTACACAACCGATGCATTAGCGAAGTACTCTGAATTATGCAGTTCCAACTTTGAACCAACATTTTCAGATCCTCCCTGTCTGGCATCAAGAGTTTCGCGGGGAGGTTCACGACGGCACGCTCGCCAACATGCTCAATTCCTTCACGATGACGATGATGGTGAAACTGCCGCTCAGCTGGAGCCCTTGCGGTACGGTACGATTTCAGTTTAGAAGGACTTCATTCAGTCGACCAAGGACTAATTCTGAACCATGAAACCAGACGCAAATTCACATGTTCATCATCTTTGCAAACAATTTCTACAGGTACTACCGCGTCGTACATGGTGGTCACTCTTCGGGTGCCGGAGACAAATGGGATTATGGGAGGAACCTTTTTTTTGCATGGTATTATGGGAGGAACCTGGAAGAGATACAGTGGTCCGCCATAGGCAGAAACCTAAAACGTATTTCCATGAAGGAAAAAAAAAGCCAGGATTGTCGTGTATCATGCCGAAGCCGTATTACTGGGCCTTTGAATATGTGGGCTTTGAGGATTTCTGTCTTCTAGCTGGGTCTCTGGGCCCAAGCGTTAATCAAGCTAGTTGAAATCAGATAGAAACCTCCCGCTTAGAATAGTCCCACACGGCTTAGGCAGTTCATCACAGGTGGTCGGACGGGTATAAGAGCGGGGGTAAGTCACCGTTTTTACTCATACCTTTCTCGGCCTTTTGGCTAAGATCAAGTGTAGTATCTGTTCTTATCAGTTTAATATTTGATATGTGGACTACACGTCCACAATGATATTAAATTTATTTTTTATTGGGAAGGATCCATCATAGTGGCTTGCCACTTGGGTCCTCGCGTGTTTCCCGGGCGTTGCACTATAGCCCGGGTGTGGCGCACCCCAACCAAAACTAAAATAAGCTTTTAACTTGACCAAATCATATTGTTCAAATTTAGATTAAATGACTTATGAAATCAGTGTTTAAGCCAAGGTGACAGGCTAAATTTGACTCCGACATATAGCTTGGAAGTTGGATGGACTATGTTAGCTATGTTACTTTTGGAACGTAGAGTAAAAATTGCTGCTGTTTTGGATTGAAAAACAAATCAGTTGCATTTTAATGATCGTGAAATTTCGCCCCATACCCCCTCCCTTCGATTTTTTATCTTGCTAGGCAATGGCCCAAGATCGACCAGGTCGTTACATAATACAAGTTTGCAACTTGAACTCTAGCTAAAGTCAAAATGAGCTCGCTTACAGCTTTTATAATACATAATACAAGTTGAGCCAAGTTTTGTCTAGGTCACTCGAATTCAACCCGTTTATATCCCTACTTTCATGTTTTGGAATGGAAAAGGAAATCGTTAGCATCGGATAAAATAAATTCATTGGGTCTACCGGCTATAGAAATACTTGGTTCTTGTTGTACTAGCGGGGCAACATACATGTGGAAGAAGGTCATTTGAACTTTTTGGTTGCTATTGTGCAGATTACTGTAGCATCTGCAAGTTATCACCCTTGGTATCTTCTTGGCCTTATAGCTTGGCCTATGTGCTAGGCATGTCTGTTCCTTGGAGCTTGCTGGCAGTACTAGGTAATGCAACGAAACACATATCGTACTACTGAAGTTTGCTCTTGCTGCTACCATTTTGCAGTTCATTCCCTCTTTTTGCGAGACTTTTTTACGTTAATTTATGAAACCCGGTTTCTGATGCAAATCTCTGGTATCCAGTCTTTCAGGAACCTTGCCTTGCACATTGTTGGTTCCTGGCATATTCTTTATTCCAGAGCCTCCAAGATGGTTGGTGTGTATATGATCAAGTTCGATATATGAAACAGAGCATCATTCTGAAATCTGTAATGACATTCTTTTTACGCATCTATCTCGAGGCAAAGATGAACTTGATGGAAGATTTCGAGACTTCTCTGCAAGTTTTGAGGGGTTTCGAGGCCGACATCACAACGGAAGTGAATTATATAAAGGCAAGCACTTGCACTTGCACTCGGTTTTTTTTTCTCTTATTGACCTGGAAATCCTTCTGAAGTATTTTTCAGCGTAGTATAATTTTATTTTCTGCACATTTTCTATAGCTGTGCAACACGTGATGTCGTGGATGATGCCCTTGATTTGGACATGTTCTGCAGCCCTTCCCCCCGGTTAATAATAATATAGTTCAGACTTCAGAACAAGTATTTTAATTACACAACCGATGCATCAGCGAAGTACTCTGAATTCTTCAGTTCTCAATTCTGAATGAACATTTTCAGGTCCTCCCAGTGGGCATCAAGAGTTTCAGTTCAGAAGGACTTCGTTCAATCGAAGTTTAAGTCACGTGGCTGCTCGGCCCTT